AAGTATTTTAAGCTTATAAGCCATAGGGTCTCCATGGCAACTACTCAACATTGCCATTGTAGTGCAAAAGCAGGTGTAGACAAACAAGTGAGCATGACTGTGTTCTAATTCAACTTTATTTATGGACACTGAAATATAAATTTCATATAATTTTCATGTTTCATGAAATACTATTTTTTTCCAACCATTTAAAAATGTAAGTCAGGCATAGTGGTACATCCCTATAGTCCCAGCTACTCGGGAGACTGAGGCAGGAGGATCGCTTGAGCCCAGGAGTTAGAGGTTATGGTGAGCTACGGTCCTGCTATTGCACTACAACCTGGGCAATAGAGTGATACCCTGTCCCTAAAAAAGAAAATTTTTTTAAATGGAATAGCCTAAGAGTCCTGAAAATGGGACCATACTTTAAAAATACATATACATACACACACATACACACACATTCACACATGTATAATGTAAAAGCCATTCCTAATTTGTGAGATATTCAAAATCAAGTAGTGGGCCAAAATCAGATTTGGCCCTGGATGAGATGCTTTTAAATGTCCTCCTTGTTTAGAGTATCATGGCACTTCAAAACTAAAGGAGACCTTAGAAACTGGTAGGTGCAGTCACCCTATGTATCACAGAAGGAAGCAGCCACCCAGAAAGGTGAAGTGACCAACCTACACTCATGTCACAAGTAGGTCAATGGAAGCTGAATTCATGACAAGAGTGTGACAATAGTGGGAGTCTATGACTGCACATGCCTCCAGCATGTAAACACATATGCTGGGTCCCCTTTATTAACAGAACGAATTCATGTTAAAGAGTCACAAGTTTGGGAATGACTCTTTCTTCCTGCCTGGAAATAGCATTTCATACCCTTAATCGTGAGCACTTTATTTGAATGAATAGTAGGGCAAAAAGGGAAAAGAAAAGCAGAGCTTGTAATGATCCTGCTTAGGCCCCGTCAATTCATCTGGACTGGTGAGCTGGATAGATTTTTAAATAGGCGATGCGTCAGTAGTTTAAACTGCTGCACTGTGAATTGATGCTCAATCTTGTTGCAGAAAAAAAATTGTGGTGTCATTAGATATTGTAGGTCCTTGGAGTTATTTGGTAGAGGTGGGCGTTGTGCTGTAGCTCAGTTTCTACCTACAGTAGTTTTCAATTTATTTGTGTGTAGTTTGCTAATGGCTTTTACCAGTCTTGTGGGGAATAAACCTAGTAATTATCTCCGCCTTTTTTTATTGTGTGATATGTGTGTGTGTTGGGGGGGAAGGGTTGACGTTTTTTCTTTGTTGTATTTAGTATTTTAAGTTTCAGATCATTCCAGAAAATTTCAAGAATTAAAATTTCTTTACTTTTTTATTTTTAGTTCACAATGTCACCAGGTGTTGGGGCACTTATCACTTGATCTAGCCTATGAAATAAAGATGTTGGGCTTCCATGGATTGCACGTGAGGTTGATGTAAAGCTGTTCTCTAATTTGGCTTCTCGCAGCAGCAGCAGAAAATGCATCTACAACATAAAATTCTTAGTGTTTTTACAGGATGAGTCATTTATATTCTTCATTCAAATAATAGTCTCGCTGTATTAAAGGGTAATCGAATGCTATTTCCGGCGAAGAAAGAGTCATCCTCCAAACTTGTGACTATTTAACATGATTCGTTCTGTTAATGGTAAAAGGGGGACAGCATATGTGTTTTACATGCGGAGGCATGTGCGTCATAGAGTCACAGCTATTGTCACACCTTGTCATCGGGAATTCAGCTTCCATTGACCTACTTGTGGACATGAGTGTAGGTTTGGTCCACTTCACCTTTTCTGGCGTGCTGCTTCCTTCTGGTGATACTTAGGGTGACTTGCACCTACAGCAGTTTCTAAGGGCTCCTTTGAGTTTGTTGAAGTGCCCATGATACTCTTAAACAAAGGACGGACTTTAAAAGCATCTCATCAGGCCAAATCTGATTTTGGCACACTTATGTGATTTGGATACTCACAATTAGCGCATGGCTTTTACATTATAGCATGTGTGAATGTGTGTGTATGTGTGTGT